AATTTAAAAAACACCCTATTACATCTTTCCTTATGTCTTATAGAATAAAACTATAGAGTTTTTTTTTATCTTGCATGGTCATTGAGCTTATACATTTTAAAGTTTAGCCAGTATTCGTCCACTCACCTTCCAAATGGGGTAATAGTACTTTAAAATCTTCAATGCTAGACATGGTTATATATTTGAATTTGCTCGAATAAAATAGCAATAAGTCAAGTATATTTTTTTAGAATGATAATGTTTTGTCGTACAAGATAATCTCATTCACGTATGTAAACCTTCTAATTTCTCCCATGTCGTACATGTTATTAATTAAGAGAAGTAATTACGGAAAACGCCTATGAAACAAATGAAGATACTTTTGGATCAAGGCTCCAATTATCTTATATGAAGGAGAGGATATGGAATAATTAAAAATTTTATGGAAAATAAAACACAAGAATAAGAAGTTAATATCATGATCACAATAACAAAAACAATTTTGGACCTGAAATTTCTTTGTTGCATTATTAGTATCTATTCGAATTCTTAATTGTGACATCACGGAGTAATTGATTGATTAATGTTTTTTTATTTATATATATGTATGTATATAAAATGCATGAATAAATTGTTTCTTTTTTTGAATGACAAATTATGTGTGTGGTGTATGTGTGTGTATATAAGTATGTGTATGTGTGTGTATATAAGTGTGAGTGTGTGAGTGAGTGATATTTTTTAATATTACATTTTAAAGTTTTAAAATAAAAAATAAAATGAATAATGAATTTAAAAAAATGAATTGTACAAAATAATTTTAAATATACATATAAGTATAATTAATCAATAATCCTGAAATCCAATTATCTTTTTTAATTTTTTCATTATTTTTCATTCCATCTATAATATAAATAAAATAACATTATCGTTTCATTCTAATTTTGTTCTTTCATTCAATTTATTACTTCATCATCATATTAAATAAAGTAAAATAAAATAAAAATTAATTTATTGTGCATACCTTTGTGAAACAACAACATTGCCTAAAGGTTCCGATGACATCATCATAGAATTATTATTAGTAGGACTGGTGATTGTGGTAGTAACAGCAGCAACATCATTAGAATTGTTATTGATTGTCATCGTTGTTGCTGATGATGGTGAGTGATGATGTTGATGATGAAGTATTTGAGTATTATGGTGATGATGATGATGTTGTGAAGCAAAATAATCTGTAGAAGATGAAGATGAAGATGGTGGTAGTAATGGTGTAGTTGTGGTACTTGCTACAGGAGATTTTATATGAACATAATGTGTTGCTGGTGAAGTTGTAGTAAAAGCATTAGTAGGAATAGATGAAGATGAAGATGGGGAATTATCATCATACATTCTTCTGCTTCCATTTCGACTTGTGCCACCTCCTACCACATTAATACCGATACCACCAACACCACTTAGCCCCATTCCATTTGAATTATTAATACCCATACCCCAAAATTGTGGCCCATGTGAAGGAGAAATTTCAGATGTGTGAGCGATACCAGTTGCCTCCGATGTTGTCATCAAAGCTTGAGGTTGAATTGGTTGTATAGGAAACGCCTCGAACATTTGACTTTGTGTAGCAATGTTTACTGGGATAAACTGTTGTTGATGTTGATGATGATTTTGATGCTGATGGGTTTGATTGCTTGATGCTAATTCTTGAGTAAAATTAAAATTTTGGTTTATAATATTACTGTTGTTTTTGTTGCTGTTGCTGTTGTTGTTGTTGTTGTTTATTATTATTGGTGATTTGCCTTGAATAATTTGATTTGTTGGATACGACTCATATGTAGATGGCGATGAAGGTACTGTGACTATTGCATGTTGTTGCGGCGATGAAGAGGAAGATATTGGTGATCTTATCATCATTCTATTATCGTTATCAACATTACCATTATAGTTATTATAGTTGTAATTATTGCCACTGTTATTTTTACCAGCACTACTACCACCATTGCTATTAAAATGTTGTTGACTTTGCGAAATCTTTACTGAATAAGTTTGGTTTTTTATAGAATTATTATTATTGTTGTTGTTATTATTATTATTATTATTATTATTATTATTATTATTATTATTATTATTATTATTATTATTATTATT